AAAGGCAAAGCTGGTTACAGAGGACAAAGATTAGCCTTTATTCATTAGTATTTGATTTTTGGTACGCTATCATTGCAAGCAGTAAGGGGAAAGATTTACTAAGGTATTTAGGTACCTAAACATGCCTAGCAGCATTTATAGCAGCATCTAAGTAGGTTAGGTGCCTAATTCCCATTAACTCCATCAACATCTTTAAGCTGCTAAACATCTTTGCAAAGCTGGCCCCAGAGCCTGAGCTGGAGGTGCCTCTGTTGAACTGATGTGCCTGTGCGCGTTTACAGCCGCGGAAGCTCAAGCTGATGCTCCCGGGAGTAGCGCGGTAGGGACCATAGAGGAGGACCAGGAGCACAGAAGTGAACAAAGGTTCTTGAGCCGACTTCAAGTTTTGCTGCTGACTTAAGCTAGAGCCACATGAAAGTCACTCAGAGCAATATTTGCAAAAAAGGCCACTGAATTTTGGTGCTTGGTTCGGAATGAGCATTAAGGTTTCTGACTCAGTGAGTTTCTTGAGCGTTAAGAGTCCTATCAGTTCCCAGAAAAGCCAGGATTTCACAGGCCAAGTCACAGCAGCATTTGCTGAACCTCAGGAAAGCCTTTCCACTCGTCAGTCCTGACAGCCTGGCCTGTTCCACAGCCACAAACGTTTTTCTTACAGGATTTTCCATGCCTTACCTCAATGCCAACAGACACCTCCTGTGCGTCAGAAGCAGACTTGAAGAAACCTACCAAATCATTTGCTTCGGGTTCGTCAAGCGGCCTGTCACAAGAAGCATTTGAATAGCTGGTGACTGTTACGTGGGGCAGATCAACCCGCGTTAAACGCTTTGCTTGGCTGAACCTGTCTCTCAGTACTCCGGCTTGTCAGGTTTATCTTCCACAGCAAAACACACGCTGTGCAACCCGGCTGTCTCAGGCAGGTGCTCCTGTTAGGGCAGGAAAAGCGGGATTTGTTCTTTCTCTCTCCTTTGCCGACCGTTGGGGTTTTGCCCCTTTACATGTCTACAACAATTCTAGAAAATAAGCAAGAGCTGATTCAGTAACGTGCATAGCTCGAGTAGATGAAGAAGTGATTTGTACTGTTAAACTACCTAAGAAGTAAGCGCTTTCTGTCGCTGGAATGTGTACTCTAAGTACACAAGAGATCTCCACCACCACCAATGTTTTTGAGTGCAAAGAGGAATGGCAGTCTGCATCAGTTACAGTTTTAAAGGGGATGGTATTAAACTTCTCTAGAAAGGTGGCTTTCTAGGCAAAGTCCGAGCAGGATCATCCTTTGAGCATAACGAAACTTGAGAATTTACAGTGAAATTCTCTGTGCGGAGTCTGGCACCACTGCAAACCCTCGAGAGTCCTCAAGGCTCCAAATGAAATGGGTGTCAGAACAGATTTAGTGCTGTGAGGTTGGTCCTTGCTTTGCGTTAAATGTCTGTGTGCATATAGCAACTGTTTGGTTTTTCCCTCCCGATTGATCGTAAAAATCCAGAGTCTTTATGTATTTGCCTATATAATAACCATATCTCTTCTATAGACTTTACTGTAGAAAACTAGAGCACAGCCGTTACACGGCAGCGTGGCCGTGCCCCGCCAGCACGTACGCCGGGCCACGATGAACACGTATGTGGTCTATGGAATGGGCAGCTCACATACGTACGTGTGCTTATGTTTATCTGGTGGGGTTGATGAAAGGATCATCTAATTTATTGAGACACTGAGTAGCGTTACAAGGAAGTTATTCAGCACCTGTGAAGCTGAGTATCTAATACGCCTGTGTAGATATTTGTGTCAAGCGATTTGCTTTGATGGGAGAATGTGCCGGTTTAAATTTACTGGAATATTTGCAGTATTTAAGGGCAGTGTGGTGCAAGTATTCAGGTAAAGATTAACACCGGTGTGTACCAGAACACTATTTTTCACAATGTCACCTTTATGTGGAAAATCAATAGAGGTGCAGGAATCATTTATGGCCCAGTGGCCACTCCCTTATGAAGCTGTAGTTTCATTACTTTAAAGGATAACATGTGCACTTTCATTTCTTTTCCATGTGTTTTTTTTTTTTTATTCTGGAATAAAAATGGGAAGTTGTTTACAGTGTTGTATATTTTGACAACTGCTCTTTACAAATTCTTTTTAAGTTATCCTAGAACCATTTTCTCAATATACACAGTTCAGCTTAATCAAAATAATTTCACAAACTATTTTGCAGAAAGGAAGAGACAAGGGGAGATAGAGAGCAATAACCTAGGAAACAAGTATGCCAGCATACAAAAATAGATTAGAACATTTGGAGATTGTAGGTATGAAAATGTAGTCTCAACAGAGGAGAATTTGAACTAGCAGATTATCTGAAGAGGTAATGCTTACCAGAGAAGCAGCTAGATAGATGCAGAGATCTATTTCTAACATCTTTAATTTCTAGGCAAATTTTTAAGAGGGAGGGAGAAATAGCCTCCAAGTTTCTGAAACGTTCTCATCTGTGGGTGGAGACGGTAAGCAGAGCCGGCAGAACGCCAGCCCCGTGTCTCCGTTTCTCCCCCTCGTGCACAGCAAGCTGGGCATTGCCCGCTCCGAGCCAGAGATCGCCACGTGCTCCCCAGGAAGGGCAAGCAGAATGCACGTAGCTGTCCTCCTCCAGCGGATCTACCAGGAGGACAGCTTTAAATTGCTCTCTGTAAAGACTCTGCTCATGCAAGCCCGTCTGATCCAGAGTCTCTGTCCCTAAATAGCTTCTCCTATTTGAAGCACCCAGCTAGCTGTCACAAAGCCACTAGCAGAATAAATCAAGACTGCGAGGGTCAAGTGGAGATTCAAACCTCTCTTGAACAGAGAATCTATATGCAATTCAGATAGTGTGGAAGTATGAACTGAAAGCACCTGTCATAAAGCATCCTAATGACTACTAAGGCTACGGCAAATATCGCAAGGAATTCATATATATCCTCTACATGTCATGAGTCTGTGCCATTTTCAGAAAAGGGATTTAAAAAAACGCTTCTATCTACAGTGTCCGATCCTGAAACTGAAGCACATGCTCTGTCCCTTCAGATTGTGTCCTCTGGGAACACAAGGGAGGCTGCGAAGCACGTTGGAGCCACTGAAGCAAAATATGGCTAAAGCATTTATGTGTTATTGCTATGAGAAGTTTTCTTAGAAATGTAAGTTACTGTGGGTCTGCTGAGCAAGCTCTTCTTCCTAATCCACACCACCTGTGTAGATTCATGGATAATTTGGTTCTGACCTATTTAAAAGTACAAAACAAATTTTCCTATTTGCTTATTCAATATATCCTAACATATACTTCCAGCAAAGGCTGCAAAAAACCCTGTTGTGAGCTGCGCTTTGTTCCTCCAGGAAGAGCATTTGGTGATGAGCTCTACAGCTCACGGGCCAAACGCAGTAGATTGCTGCACTGCTATTCAAAGAAGAGACCTGACTTAGGGTTTAAAAAAATGTGTATTATTTTTGATTCAAAAGGATCCACAGCTACAGTGTGCCTGACTTGGCGCAGCTCTGTAATGCTAAGGACATAGCATGGCATAGGCACCAGAACTGCAAATAAGTCTGGTCTTCATATCCATTCCTCAGAGTGCAAGGATCTTTAAATCCAGTGCCACATCTGCTGCAAACAGACCTCAAAAAATGTGATCGCACAGCCTCAGCCCTTTGTACCGGCCAACGGAGGTGAGCTGGAGCACAGAAGTGTGCCTGAACCTTTCCAGGGATGCTCAGAAGTCCTTCAGTGTGCTGCTCAGAAAATCGCAGATTGCAGCCTGTGCCTTCCTCACACTGTTACAATCCCGTTCTCCTTCTTGGGCTGAAGGTCAGAAATAGGGTTTTTCTTTGGCATATTCATCAGTGCTTCCGCAAAGTTTCAGATCCTTCTTTCATTCATTAGTCAACACTTACCATATATGTTATACATGCAAACACACATATATAAAGCACAAACACACACATATATATAGAGCCTCCAGAAAAATGTAGCATAGAATCATATATTTGACAAAGCTGGCGTCATACATTGTGCTGTGAATAATGAGATCTAAAATATTCTGTGCTATTGAGGTACAGTGAAACCTGTTCATTAGATTGCACCAGCACCCCCTGTCATTTTCTATATCCTCTTTAAATCATCACCAATGTGTACAAAATGATTTTGTTCTACTTAAAGACCAACTTTGAGGAGGTGACTGATTTCTGCTGATCCTGGAGGTGGATTCACAGGTTTCATTGTACTTGAAACTTCACAGCTTCCACTGAAGTATTTGATGCATGTATGTATCGGTTTAGCAGAGTACAAAAGTGGAATAATTTTCATTCTTGCCTCATATTGTTGACAGAGTATGGTGTCCTCTACCAAAACTGTTTCTTTTTACTTGACAACTTATCAAAGACTCATTTTCCTACAGCCCAACCACCAATCTTAGTATTTGTTTTAAAAGTCGCCAGGGCTCCGATACTTGTAATAAATTGCTAAATTTCTATTAACAAAACTTATTTGCAAATTTCTTCCATAAAAACAAAACTTTTCAGTAGTTAAAGAAAAGGCATTTACTTTACACTTAGTAGCATTAGCTAAAAACAAACGCCTCACCTTGCATCTTTCAGTCAACCACCAGCTGGAATCTACCATGTGAAATTACAACCAATGTCCCAACCTTAACTCTCATGCTGGTCAAAGCTGTGAACATTTCATGTCAGGTCAGCGGAGTCAGGCCAATAGAGAAGTCACAAAAAGACTGGATCAGGCCTTAGATAAGACTGATCCCTGCACACTGAACTGGGACAGGTTAAGGACTGAGGGGAGGCTTCTGCAGCGCCTGCGTCTTTTGTCGCACCCATCAATAAACCCACCTCAAAATGGCAGAACTTCCTCTGACTTGAAGGGGAGAAACGTCACCAGGTACTACTACATTAGACTAGATAGTACGTAGACTAAAAAGTGTGCATCTTCTCACTAACGTATTGAAACTAGACAAACTACTTTCTGTCAACAGATGTCCTCAGCTCTTGGACTCGGGAAGCTCTCTCATTCCATCGTCGTCATCCTCAGAGCAAAGCAAGCTTAGTGCACTTGTTACGGGATGGATCCATGACGTTGTCTGTGTCACATGGCTAAAATGAAACAAGAAATGCTGTTAGCAACCCAAAAGAGGTTTACCGATCTCAAACCAAGAAATACCAGATGGAGTCTGGAGTTCTAATGATCATCACAACACTTTCAAATACAGAATTCTCTTTTTCTTGCCAACTATGAGATTTTTACAAATAAAATGTGGAGTCTTCTGGGTGCTAGAACCTGGACTGAACGTCTCATTTCCCAATACATTAGAGAGAATGCTTTTGTAAGAGATACAGACTGGTGACATTTCCTGTTAATTAATGGAGCTGTTGACAATTAACCTAGCAACAGTGTACAGCCCAGACTAGCAAAGTCTTACAAAACCCCAACAAACTAGCAAGGTATTAACATTGCCATGTTTGTTAGTTAAAGCCTGAAGCACAGTGGTCAAGAGGAAGTTGACCAAATGTTGAATCACATCATAGAAATACACTCAGTTTGTCAGAACATCAATTAATATTCTGGCATCATTAAGTCATTCCTCTTCTTGCAGAAAAAGGTGGATGAGTAAATCCAAAAAAGGATGTTCTTCACATGTCCTCTAGACCAAATTCTGGACGTGCTTCCACAGCCTTTGCACGTGTAATAAAAGGGAGTCAGTGGCACTTTTTAAGGCATAAACCCTACATTTGCCATGCAGTCTAAGCTGCTTTATAAGCTTCTGTATGAATGGAAAGAACCCGATCAAGGCTCGCTAAGGACAGATAAATGGAATAGGCTTACTGTTTGCGGGTGAGAACACTGCACACCTTATGATTGGTAGTATGCGTGCTAGCCATACTGTGTGTGGGCAAGACACAGCCTCTTCTCCCTTCTGGAATAATGTGTTCTTGGTAAAGGAAATAGCTTCTTTGCACTTAAAAAAAATCTTGCTAATAAATTCACAGTTTTTATAGCCAAGTCAGTGCAAAGATGAATTTTGTAATATAAGTTCATTACAGGAACTAGCTGAAAAATATTGTACATATAATATACACCATAAAAGACAAACAGCTCTTCTCACAACTTCTAACATACAGTGCACCTATACTCACCTTTCAGGTGCATTGGTTTCATTAAATAGGAAATGCCATGATGGAACTATTCCAGATTTACCTTTTCAAGTGAAAACAGATTCTGTCTTTCTTTCTTCAAGAATGGTCTCTTAAATATTTGATTATGGAAACTGATACCTTAAAGTAGGAATTTGAGTCAATGTTCCACTACACAGTTATGGGTATGGGGATCACTATTCCAGTCAACATGATCGTGCCATGATCTTACCTTGTATTCACACCTTTCATTTGAGTATACTGAGCTCATGATGAGGACAAAAATACTGTTTACCAAGAGGTAAATATGATGCTAACGTAAATCCCATCTCAAGCTATATTAACAGATTAACTTCTCTCTGAACTGATAATCTGTGAATTTAACCAATAGTTCAACTGAAGCAAAGCCTGAGTAAGGACAAAGCAAGAAAAACAAAATGTGGAAGATAAAAGTCATATGCTGCATTCTTATCCTTAAAAAAAGCAAACCCAAAAGCTCCACTTATGTGTAAAAACAATTCATAAATGCTTTTTTGGTCAGAGCAGCACTGGATGGACTCCATTCCTTCATGAGTATATTACAAAAAATGTGCATCACCTTACTGGAGCTGTAGAGATCAGTCTCACAGAAGTTAAAACAGAAGTATAACTGAACAACAGGTAGCTACAGAAAATAGAACGCAGCAGGTACAGTAATCATTTCATTCTAAGAAAAAGAATGTACCATTTTTACTAGGAATGAGAGCAAGTTGCCAAAAATTTCCAATATTTACCTTTAGAAAGTCAGATGATAGCCAACACGAAGAATATGAAGAGAGTCCTTTTACAATGTTTTATGAGAGATTTATGAATAAAATCTGTCTAATCAAGAACATCATTCCCATTATTCCACATCACAAGGAAACATATGTATTCATATTTATATTAGGAATATATTTGTATATATACTAAGGAAAAGGTCTTTGCTGTATTTTTCTGCAATGTTTCCTATAATGTTAGGAAACACCCTTTTTTCCCCCCCCAATTAAAAAATTTAAGTCACTATGGCTTAATACTGAAGATAGGAGTCTAAATTATAAAGTCCCAGCATGTGACTTTATAATCATTTATCTGCATAATGACACAGAACTCCCTCCAATACCTGCGGAATCACGGGAGCTGAACGAACTGGATTCCATCCATTGCGGCTCTGCCAATGCAGGATTTATTGCCTGCAGTACTATTTTAAGTGTTTATATTGTCTGCTTTTATCAAGCCATTTCTCAGCAATCCATTACTGAATTTAAATAAGAACAAAATTATTTTTAATTCCCCCCCCTGCATTTGACTTCCCCATGTAGCATGCCTTGATGCGCTGTGCACCAAATCCTTAGCTCCATCTCCTCATCAGCATTCAGTATCAATCCTGTGAAATGGGAGAAACTGCACGGGAGTAGAAGAGCTATGTGGTAAAGCATTCGCAGGTCTTTGATGTAACAAACTAAACATTTCTTTGTTAAGTGTTTATTCTTCAGAAGATCTTCCTCCTACATACCTTAGAACCAGGAGGCAAAAGACAGCATGCCTAACTTCTGCTAACTGCTGTAAGAACTCGATTTTGTTCTCATACTAATTAAATGCAAAAATTCGCCAGATCTTTAATAGTGACATTGAAATCAGGATTACAATTTGCTATATTCAATGGCATAACACTGTTTAATCACTGGTAAGAAAGAACTAGTTTTCATTCATTTTCAAAATATTTGGGGCCCAATTTTGCTCTAATGTCAATCTGCTGTAAATGCTTCTGATTTGTACTCAGTTCTTTTAAACTTGCGCTAGACTTTATCCCATGAACGCTTCTACTAGAACACTTTGTTTTAAACCCTTTGCTAAAATCCTACTAGGAAAAGAACTCTTATAAATAAACATTAAGTCCAGATACCACGTCTCCCATTGTAGACAGACATGCACAATACGCACAGATTATTTAGGTACAGAATAAATGTATAACCTCCTCGCTATTTATTTTTAGCTCTCCAAAAGTGCTGTGGCTAAAGAGCTTTGACATAATCAGTCCAAAGAGATAATCCCAGATTTACTGGTTTGCAGAACATTCTTGTATCAGAAATACATCCTCTCTGATTTGGGTGTTAGGGCTAGCAGTAAAAGTGAGAGGAAATTCAAATCTACCTCTAGGTTTTGCTTAATTGATGAAACTGTTTTGAATATTAAAGGAGTATTTGGAAAGCCAGCATTACAAATCCTAAATGTAAAACATTTTCCATTTGCAAGTGTTCCTGTTCAAAAGATTTTCAGAGCAATTAACAATATTTAAAGATTTTTAAGGTTTTCAAACAAGTCATCGCTATCAGAGGGTATCCAAATTTATTGTTAGAAAACAGAATCAGAAACATTTGATCTGGAAATATGTCAGTAGCTTATTCTGTCTTTTTAACATTAGTAAATTGCAGGACAAATTTTAGAGCTTGGAAAAACAAAACATGAGAACACAGGGATTTTTTTGGCAAAGAAATGGTAGCGAATTATTTAAAATACCATTATAATTACCTTCCTTATGGCTCCTCTTCGCATGGAAAATGATTTCTTTTAAAATGAGAACTTAAGACAATCTTTTAAGAAAAGAGTAATTCAAAGAAAAATGCAAAGAAAAATTAATGGAAAAGACCTCTGCACCTTTGTAAGATTTTGAGCATTATGAAGACATGCTTTTCACCTTAAATTGTATTCTCCAACTAGGGCCAAACTCTGAAGCCCAAGAGGGAATCATGAAGAGCCTTGCAGACAACACGACTGTTGTAGGTCACTGCGCAGGACGCTAAGCTACCGAGCAGTCATGCGGTATTCTTTGAAGTTGGGGTTTTTCCCCCTTTTGACATCGAATGACATTCATAACACCTGCCTGAATTTTTCCAGTGCACCAGGGTTACTTAGCTTTCAAAGGGAACAATCTTGTGCACAACTCATTTGTTTGAGATCTGTTCAAGAGACAAGATGCAGCCTTAGACAATTAATCAATCTCTTGTATCGAATAGGGACCGTTACTCGTTAGGGGCCAGATAGGATTTAGTTGTATCTGAACTTGGAAAGCCAGATTCTGGCCTCATATGAACCCTACGCTTCTCTACCACATTGAGCAGTACTGAAGATGAAAGTGAAAGCAGAACTCTGCCCATATGAAATAACACAACCCCAAGGTAGCTATTTTCCTGCCTAAATGAACATACCCCATAACCCAAATCCATTTAACCAACAGTAGTAATTTTGCTAAACTTTTAATCTTTCTTACCTGACTTTTTGATTCCCCAAACTTCACTAGCCCTTTAAAATGCAATAACGCTCAGCTAAAGAGTAGTGATGCTCGATGGAGCTTTTACCGATGGAAACTTTTTGCCAAGCCGCTGTCGCAGTGCAGTACTGCTGCCAGCCGTAAGGCTGAGACGTAGGAAACCGCACACTCTGAAAGCTTTACCCTTTAGTGCTTTCACTGGTGTTATTGAAATAATCATTAAAAAATGTAGCAAATAGCACTGCTAGATGTGGATGCAATGGGTTGGAAGGGGGACATGCTCTATACTACCCAGAAATATATGCCGTATTGTGCTTTTTTTTTAGACTTACACGCACATCCCAGTGGGAAGTTCTGAAGTTACTGTGAAAGGAGTATATGCCATCTGCTAGATGACTAGCAATACGGGAGACTCTGTTCCTTTGTTACACACTGGTACGCGCCCCATGCAGTGGTGGTTTGGAGGCTAATGAGGGCCAGAGCAACAGGAAAATAAAGAACAATGCCACTGAACGAAGATCCTGAAACTTAATCCTCCATTAGAAGTTGTATCATCTCCCCTGCTTGCTCTTGCACAGAATCTGTCTGTGGAGCTCTTTGCTGGACGACACACAGCTTTGCAAGATTTAATTACTGCCTTTGTCTTTTGCTGCTGGGCCTTTCTGTTTCTGTC